TTTGGTGCTCCTTTCAGGCAATGCAAGAGTCGGGACCAGAGGCCCAGTCTCTTGACAGAGGTCTTCAGCTTTTCTTCCCTCCTCAGAGGTTGGCTGCTGGATGCTTCTTTTCTACTTTCTTTGGAGGCCAGGAATGGAGTCTTCCCCTTCTTTCTTCTTCCTTCGGGGGCTGGAATCATCTCTCCTCATAGGGGGCTGAAATCATCTGTTCTGTTCAAGGACTGGAATATCATCTCTCTCAGCGCCCTCTGATCCTGGCTTATATTCTCTTTCAGAGTGTCCCATCCACAAGTCTCATTGGACCATTTTTCAGTCCTGTGGCCGAATGGACCATTTAGCGCCAATCAGCTCATAGCTCGTAACTGATAGAGCCATTCCATGATCCAGGGGCTCATAAACAAGGAGTAAAACTGGACATTCTTTCTTATAAAGGAAATTGTGCTGCAGATTTTTTTTCAGCAAATTGGCACTTTAATTGTTGTAGGAAGGCTTATTTTATGGCCTTTCCATAACCCCAGTTTTCTTATTGACCTGCGATAACTTCAGATTTAGAACAAAATAGGTTGTGCCAGTGCCCATTAAAAAGTTTGTCAAACGGGGCCTCCCCGGTGGCGCAGCGGTAGAGCGCTGGGTTGCGAAGCTGCCCGCGGCCTCTTCAGCGCCGGTTCGATCCCCGGCTGCTCCCCGGCCACCAGAGGAGGGTCCCACATGGCGCGCAGACCTCTCCTGCCGCCCGCTGCTCCCCTCAGCAGTGTAACTCGGTCCCTCTGCCTGCTCTGCTCCCCGCTCTGGCTCTGGTGAATTCTCTCACCCTCCCGTGCTCTGACTGTACCCAGTGCATGTATAAACAAAAACAAACAAATAAATAAATAAATAAAAACATGCCTAAAAAAAAAAAAAAAAAAAAAAAAAGTTTGTCAAACGATCCCCCAATTAAGTGTTACCCAGGACTCTAAGAAGATTGTTGGAATATGCTTTCCCAAATCAAGTGGAACATCTGGGCTCCCCAATTCTTCATCTGGTGCTTTTTGAAGATGATGTCAGAGGCATGACCAGTGGCAGAGGCAGCAGCTGGGTTTCTGAAAAGGTCTGCGGAGGTCTGGAATTCTATGGAAGTTTGTGAAGGACTGCTGAATAACATGGAGGTCATCTTCTGAATGCTTCTTCTTCAGAGGTCATCTGCTGAATCCTCTCTTCAGAGGTTGGCTGTTGAGTGACTCAAGCTGTATCTTGGTCTGCCTTATATCCTCTTCAAGGCCCCCTACCCTACAAGCCTGATTGAAATGTTTTTCAATCCTAATTATCTGATCAGTGCCAGTTACCACTAATCAGCTTGCTTCTCTTTTCAGTTTGCATAATTAACTGAAAGTTTGAATTGTTGGGAGACTGCTGCCCTAAAGCGATCTGGAGTTTTTTGGAGAATACCTGTTTACATACGGAGTTCCAGGATGTTAGAAGTTCTGCAAAAAGAACTTCTTCTCAGAATTGACTCCTGTTCTCTGAGGACATGCTGGCTTGTACGTATGTTCCCTATTAACCAGGAAAACTTGTTTTCAGCAGTAACTTATTAATCTGTATAAGCAAAAACACAATTGTGTGCTATTTTCTTGTTCCTTTGTTCATATCTCTTTTTTTTAAAGATTTATTTATTTATGCATACAAGAACTGGGGTACAGGTCAGAGGTGCGGGGGGTGAGAGGATTCATCAGAGACAGAGTGGGGAACAGAACAAGAAAACTGACTAAAATTCAGTGCTGAGGGGAGCAGCGAGCAAGAGTAGCTCCCTGGCCAGCCAGGGGATAATACTTGTGCTGCAGAGGCTGCAGATAGCTTCACAGTGCTGTGCCTAACCCCTTGTGCCACCAGAGAGGCCCCCCTTTGTTCATATCTTTAATAAATCTTCAGCTGGGAGAGTGAAAGGCAAAGCTGCTCTTGACGGCACTCTCCCCACCTCTCCCCCCACCCCCCACTGCAAATTCATTGAGACTGTGAGTCTTTGTTAAGGGCAGAGAATTCCATCAGCTGTCTGGTCCATAGCAGTGGCGTCCAAACTGGGTCACGAACCCTGGAACCTCAAGGAAGGTGCATGTGGTAAGTGTGTTCTCTAGCTTACCTCTAGTTATTGGTCTCGACGGACTAAGAGGGTATTTATTTAAGGTTGGGTAACAAATGGGGCAGAATTCATCTTATCTTCATTATATAACCTCTTTAAAATGCTTGTTGGAACAGAATAGAACCACTGTTTCCACCAAAGCTTAAATGAGCTGTTAGATTGGATCATTCAGACCTCTCCTTGGTTCCCGGATATAGGTGTTTTGGATGTAGAAACTTGGGAACAAATTGGTGGAATGTTGAAAAGGCATTTATAATGTTTGAAAATCCCTACTGTAGATTTTTCAACATGGGCTCTGGGACCCTTCTAGGAAACTTTTAAAAGGGAAACTAAACATAAATATGAAGTAACTGATATTTCTCAGCTTTCCATACCATCCATACCACTAAATGAAAGGGAAAATTGCTCTGAAAGTAAAAGCCCTAAAAATAAATGGTCCCACAATAATCCTTTTCAGAAGGAATCAGTTGTTGGTTTAACTTCCTTAGCCAACGTTATGAAAGAACAAAAGACAATTTTTGTAGATGACCCAAAAATGGCTTCTGTATTGATGACTTTTCCAGTATAAAAAAAAAGGGAAGGGCAAGTTGGCCACCAGTCATATCAACAGGTCACTTTAGCAGCACGCAGAGCCAGACAGAGCTTGCCTCAACCCAGAAAACCACATTGGTCTTTATTGTGTATATTGCAGGAGCCCAGGCAGTTCCCTTGGTAGACCCAGGCTAAAACTTTAATAATAAAACTCAAAAATTCAAAAACAAATTAAAAAAAAATTTGCAAATTAAAAAAAAAAAAAAAAAGGACAAGAGTCCCATCGTGTTCCTGGATCAAATGGGAGGTACTGTGTAAATATACAAATGTAGACCCAGAGTCGTATGAGGGCCAGACTTTACTAAGAGATAGATTTATGCTACAGGCAGCCCCTGATATATCAGGAGAAAATAACAAAAAGTGGCTGTAGGCCCTCAACAATCATTGGAAAATCTCCTGCCTGTTGCCACCTATCTTTTACAACAGGGATCAGGAGGAGATAAAGGAAAAGACCCAAAAGGCCCGTGTCAGGGCAGAGGCTCTGGTGGCTGCTCTTAGAACCTCAGGGATGGCTTCACGAGAGGAACAAGGTACTTTCAGTGTGGCCATACAGGGCATTTCCAAAGAGTGCCCCAACCAAGAGATCAGCTTCCAGACAGCCAGCAGTTGCCTCTAAGACTGTGCTCCAAATGTCAGCGTAATCATTGGAGAAGGGACTGTCCTTGGTTGCAGAAACCAGGGCCAGCCTGTCCAAACTCTGATGGGACCCAGGGGCTCTGATTGCCCCTGCCCTCTCAATTTCATCATCAGAGCCTAGGGCTTGTCTTGAAGTAGAGGGCCATTCAATAGACTTTCTGCTGGATACTGGGGCCATGTACTCTGTCCTCCAATCTTGTTTCTTACAGTTAACATCTAATGGGGTAGCAGTTAAGGCAGTAGCCAGAAAAACTATTTACTAGATATTTTACCCCATTTTGGGGTGCCTCTGGGACTCCTTTTGTTTTTTGCATGCCTTCCTAGTGATCCCTGAATGCCCAACCCTACTTCTAGGCCAAAATATCTTGGTCAAGGTGGGTGCTTCATTTTATGTTCGCCAGCCAGAACAGTGGGCCACTCCCTTATGCACCCTTATTTTGCCTGTAATTGTAAAAATTGACCCATTAGTCTGGTCTGATTGATCACAGGAGGGGAGAGCAGTTTCCAGAACTCCCATTAAAATCAAGTTAAAACCAGGAGTACTATATCCCTGCCAACAACAATATTCATTGAGATCAGAAGCAGAGGCAAAAATGGGTCTTTCTTACATAATCAACACTTTAAAACACCAGGGTCTGCTGCTAGTTCCCTGCTCTAGCCTGTATAACTCTCCTATCTTGGGGGTAAAATAGCCAAATGGCTCTTGGTGTCAGGTTCAAGACTTAAGATAAATTAACCAGACTGTCATTCCCCTGCACCCTGTAGTGCCAAATCCCTATACGTTGCTGTCCCAGGTGCCAGGAGATGAGAAGTTCTTCTCAGTCCTGAACCTGAAGGATGCATTTTCTTGTATTCCCTTACATCCAGATTCATGGTTTCTTTTTTCCTTTGAGGACCCTCAAATATTCACTCACAACTTGCTTGGAACCCTTGCCATACTTCTATTTGGCCTGTACATTCTAAACCCCTTGGTTAGTTTTGTCTCCTGTAGGTTAAAAGTTACAAACCTTCAGCTTGCAGTTATCACCAGTCCACTGACTACGTACCAGCTCCCTGGACAGACCCACTCCAACACTGCTGACCTGCCCTACTGCACCCTCCTTCCACCAGGAAGTAGCCAGATAGACTCAACGCCCCCTACCCTCACGGCTGCTCAGCGTTGTGCTCTCTCTGGCGGGACTGAGAAAATCTGAAACCAGGAGAACTTGGAAAACTGTAAAGGCTGAGACAAGGGCCTATGCAAAATTCCATCGAAAAGTTGGGTCTGGTACAACAACCCCTGCATGTGAGGGAGGTTTATATCATACTGAAGAAGGAACCTGAACTCTTATGAATATCACCTTCCAAAAGAAAGCTTTTGATTCTGCCTGTATGCTTAATCCTTATGTTTTGTTGCCATAAAATATTCATGTTAGTTATAATACATCCTATTCCATGTATCATGTTACTTGTAATGACTGTTATCTGCAACAATGTATTACCAGGACATACTGGTACCTAGTCCAAATATCACATTCTTAATACTGAAAGAGCTGGTAGCCACTTGGGTTCCAGTTGAACTCCAGGATCCGTGACAAGACTCCTTCTATGGCATTCACACAGGAGCTGATGCATCACTTGAAACACAACACCTAAAGATTCATACAGGCTCTGCATATGATTACTCTTCTCTAAAAACAAAAAGGGGGGCCCCTTTCCAGTGTTCAAGGTGTCGAAGCGAGGACGTGGTGGGTCCTCTGGTGCAAAATTCCACATTTCGTTGGGTCTTCCGGTGGGAGCCGTGATCAACTGTGCTGACAACACAGGCACCAAGAATCTCTACATCATCTCTGTGAAGGGGATAAAGGGACAGCTGAACAGACTCCCTGCTGCTGGTGTGGGCAACATGGTGATTGCCACAGTCAAGAAAGGCAAACCAGAGCTCAGAAAGAAGGTACATCCAGCAGTGGTAATACAACAACGAAAATCCTATCGGAGAAAAGATGGTGTATTTCTTTATTTTGAAGATAATGCTGGGGTAATAGTAAACAATAAAGGCGAGATGAAAGGTTCTGCCATCACTGGACCAGTTGCAAAAGAATGTGCAGACTTATGGCCCAGGATTGCATCCAATGCTGGAAGCATTGCATGATTCTTAGGCCTATTTGTAAAAAAAGAAGTCATTAAAAGAATTAATTGCCAAAATAAATAAATAAATAAAAACAAAAAGGGGGATATGTTGGGAGCCTGCTGCCCAAAAGGGAGCTGGAGTTTTTTGGAGAATACCTGTTTACTCTGCAGACGGAGTTCAAGGATGTTAGTTCTGCAAAAAGAACTTCTTCCCAGAATTGACTCCTGTTCTCTGATGACATGCTGGCTTGTGCGCATGTTCCCTACTAACCAGGAAAACTTGTTTTCAACAATAACTTATTAATCTGTATAAACAAAAATACAATTGCATGCTATTTTCTTGTTCCTTTGTTCATATCTTAAATAAAAGATTGGGCTGGGAGAGTGAAAGGCAGAGCTGCTCTCGGTGGCACTCTCCCCAGCCTCCCACCACTGCAAATTCATTTAGACTCTGAGTTTTTGTTAATGGCAGAGAACTTCATCAGCTGTCCTGTTGGCGGCATTGAATGACAGCTGGAGAACTCAAATCTGATTGCTCCATTTACAATCCTGGAGCCAGATACAAAAGGGGAAGGCCTGGCACCTGCATAAACTGACTTACACTCAGGTATGGCTCCAAGGAACCACAGTAAGAGCCAGCCTCAGTGAGGCTGAAGACATTATGTATCTGACACCCCTTCAGTGGGGCAGGGTTTGACAATTTGAGGGACTCTGCTGCAGTGTTGGAACATGGGTCCTAGAGATTGCAGATTGGGCTGCCACTGGAATCCAGTTTCAGCTCCTCATTTAATCTCCATATTTGGTTATAGCAATTGTTCAGGCTCTCATTTAAAGACCCCAAGGGACTTCATTATGACACTGTTGGAAAACCGTGGGTTTCTGCATCAGATGTGTTGCATTTCAGTCAAGGTAGCACAAATGCCTGTTAATATGACCTATACAGGTAGACTGAAACTTTTTTCTGGTTTCTTACTTTAAAACCCAGAAGATTTACCTGCTAGGGGCTCACAGAAATCAAGACTGGGAAAATAAGATAATTACCAAAAAATTTTTGGAATGTGAAGAAAAAGGTATTTGGAAAAGCACATTTTACCACTGATAAGTTGTAATTTAGAATTACCATTATTTAAAAAATTTGGAAACAAAACTAGAGCAAGGTTCTTGATTTGCTTGGGTTTCTGAGGAGAACCATCACGACATCTGCAAATATGTATTTATCCCAATATTCCTAATTGTCTCTTTCCTGTCTGTCATTTGTCTAAGACCTCTACAAAACAATGGAAAGGGTGTTCTTGAAATTAGTGATTTATATAAACAGATATTTTATGTTGAATCATTCTTACATGCTGGAATAAACTGTTACCATATGCAATTATTTTATTTTATTTTTTAAAAGATTTTATTTATTTATACAAGAACTGGGATACAGGTCAGAGGCGCAGGAGGGTGAGAGAATTCACCAGAGACAGAGCGTGGAGCAGAACAGGCAGACGGACCGAAGGCACTGCTGAGGAGAGCAGCGGGAGAGGCAGGAGAGGTCTGCAGCGCCATGTGGGTTTCTCCCTGGCCTGCCAGGAATTGAACCCTTGCTGCAGAGGCTGTGGACAGCTTCACAGGGTGGTGCTCAACCCGCTGAGCCACCAGAGAGGCCCTGCAATTATTTTAATATACTACTATTTTAGGGGGGTTGGTATAGGCAAATGAGACTGCTATACATTTCCATTTTTGGTAATCTTCATTTATTTGTTTTCAAGATTTATTTATTTATGCATACAAGAACAGAGGAGTGAGGTTGAGAGGATTCACCAGAGACAGAGTGGGGGGCAGAACAGGTGGATCTACTGCTGAGAGGAGCAGTGGGTGACACAGGAGAGGTCTGTTGCACAATTTGGGTCAGCTCCCTGGCTGGGGATTGAATTCATGCTGCAGTGGCTGCCGATAGTTTCCTAGTGCTGAGACTTAGTCCCTTGTGCCACCAGGGAGGCCCAATCTTCAGCTTTAATGTCAGAGTCCTACAGCCACATACACAGTGAACTGAAAGAATTCACTTGAAAACATTCTGCCTTTTTCTTTCTTTAAAGATTGCTTTCTTTTTTTGTCTTTAAAGATTTATTTATTTATGCATACAAGAACAGGGGTACAGGCCAAAGGTGTGGGGGGTGGGTGAGAGGATTAACCAGAGACAGAGTGGAGAACAGAACAGGCAGATTGATTGAAATACACTCCTGAGGGGGAGCAGCAGGGGAGTCAGGAGAGGTCTGCTGCGCCATGTGGGAATCTCCCTGGCTAGGGAGCGAACTCGTTCCAGCGGCTGCGGACAGCTTCATAGGTTGCCTCTTAACCCCTTGCGCCACCAGGGAGGCCCTCTGCCTTTTTCTTTTAATGCATGAAACAGTTTAAATAATACAGTACAAAATTAATCAAATTAAAAAATAATCCACTTCCTGTTTTTAAGTGGTTGAACATACTTGCAAGTGAATTGAAACTAAAGTGCTTTTTTCAGTGCTATGTGTACAGAAAAATTACATCATTGCAAAATACTGGGTCTTGGGGAATTTGTTCAAATAATAGTGAATAAATATCCTTGAGGAATGATGGAAAACCACATGATACCATTGGTTCTTCTCTCATGGCTCCAATGACTAAGAACTGTGTATCCACAACACTGGGATGTTCTTTCAGGTTTTTTCTGTCATCTGAATCCTGGACAAAGATTGGGATTGAAAAAAAAAAAAAAAACCACAGAGAGAAAGACCGTGGATCCTGCCTGTCAATATGTCAGCATCAAGTTGACATTCTTGACTCCTTCCCTGTTGACGCTATGAAACTACTCACTCCCTCTCCTAAATGTCCTGTTTTCTTATCCTTTTGATGACTATATCACGTAGGGTTCCCTTGAACATAGAACATGTGTTTGGACCAACAGAGCCAGTTTTACTTTGATTGTTCCCTTTTAGACAGTCACATGACTTTCCATGCTCTGAAGGGAGTTCGGGAACAAGAAGAAATATCAGCTGTTCAAAGACAAGGATGTCCACTTTCACCACTGCTTTTCAATATAATACTGTAAGTCCTAGCCAGAGCAATAAGACAAGAGAAAGACATCCAAGGAATCCAAACAGGAAAAGAAGAAGTCAAACTATCACTCTTTGCAGATGATATGATAATATACATAGAGAACCCCAAAAACTCCACAGAAAAACTAATTCAACTCATCAATCAGTTCAGTAAAGTGGCAGGATACAAAATCAACACACAAAAGTCAGTAGCCTTCCTATATACAAACAATAAATCTGAAGAAGAAGAAATCAAAAAAACCATCCCTTTTCTTATTGAAACAAAAAAAAAAAATCAAATATTTGGGAATAAATCTAACAAAAGAGGTAAAGGACCTATACAAAGAAAACTACAAAAACACTGTTAAAAGAAATAGAAGACGACACAAAGAAATGGAAAGACATCCCCTGCTCATGGATTGGGAGAATAAACATTATTAAAATGGCCATCCTACCAAAAGCAATATACAGATTCAATGCTATTCCAATCAAAATTTCAATGTCATTCTTCAAAGAAATAGAACAATTATTGATGAAATTCATATGGAATCACCAAAAACCCCAAATAGCGAAAGCTCTCCTGAAAAAAAAAGAAGGGAATGGAGGCATCACACTCCCAGACTTCAAACTCTACTACAAAGCCACAATCATCAAAACTGCATGGTATTGGAACAAGAACAGACATACAGACCAATGGAATCGAATAGAAAATCCAGAAATAAACCCACAGATTTATGGTCAACCAATCTTTGACAAAGGAGCAAAGACTATGCATTGGAGCAAAGAAAGTTTGTTCAATAAATGGTGCTGGGAAAACTGGGTCGCTACATGTAAAAGAATGAAGCTTGACCACTACCTCACACCATATACAAAAATCAACTCAAAATGGATTAAAGAACTAGACATAAGACCTGAAACCATAAAATACATAGAAGGAAATATAGGCGAAACACTACGTGATTTGCATATCAAAGACATCTTTACAGACACATCACCCAAAGCAGTGATAGTGAAGGCAAAGATCAACAGCTGGGACTACATCAAATTAAAGAGCTTCCTCACAGCAAAAGAGACAATAACAAAAACAAAGAGAAACCCCACCAACTGGGAGAAAATTTTTGCACACAACACTAATGATAAAGGACTGATCACAAAAATCTGCAAAGAGCTGATGAGACTCAACAACAACAAAGAAAATAATCCAGTCAAAAAATGGACAGAGGAACTAAAAAGAAACTTCTCTGAAGAGGAAATGCGAATGGGCAACAGGCATATGAAAAAATGTTCAACATCACTTGCAATCAGGGAAATGCAAATCAAAACTACCATGAGATACCATCTTACACCAGTGAGAATGGCACATATTAAAAAAACTAGCAACAACAAATGTTGGCGAGGATGTGGAGAAAAAGGAACTCTCCTGCACTGTTGGTGGGAGTGCAAACTGGTCCAACCACTATGGAGAGCTGTGTGGAGATTTCTGGACCTACTAAACATAGAGCTTCCACAGGATCCAGCAATTCCACTCCTAGGTATTTACCCAAAGAACACAGAAACATCAATTCCAAAGAACACCTGCACCCCTATGTTTATAGCAGCACTGTTTACAATAGCTAAGCTTTGGAAACAGCCCAAATGCCCAAAAATAGATGACTGGATCAAGAAGATGTGGTACATATATACCATGGAATATTACTCAGCATTCAAAAAAGATAAACACATGCAATTTGCAGCAACATGGATGACGCTGGAAGGGATCATGCTCAGTGAAATAAGCCAAAAAGAAAAAGAAAAGTACCGGATGGTCTCACTCATAGCAGGGATCTAGAAAACTTAAATAAGGGACCAGGAAAATGAATAACTATAAGAAAGTGAAAATCAAAATCAACAAAAACTATGAACCAGAGACACTTTTTGGGGGGGTGGGGGGCGGGAGGGGAGGGATTGGGGTCAGAATGGGGGGATTGCAATTGTATGGGGAATATAAAAATAAAATTTATTAAAAAAAAAAAAAAGAAATATCAGCTGTTCAGTG